TGCCGCTTTTAGCTATCACTTTTTACCTTTATCTAGCATTTGACTACTTTTAGCTACCATTCTGCCGCTTTTACCAAATTTTACCACTTTTATTAATCAGTTTTTACCTTCAGCTATCATTTGACTACTTTTGGCTACCATTTTGCCTTTTCAACTTTTTGCTACAGATTTAGTAATTTTAGCTTTTGTTGTTTGTTTTACCTTTAGCAACAGTTTGTCACTTTCAGTTATTTTGTTAAGTTTAGCCTCTATTTTTGGTAATTTGAGCTTTTTGTATGTTTTGCTCATTTGTTCATGCTACCTGTTTGCTAATTTAAGCTGCCATTCTGATAATTGTAGCATCTGTTTGACTTGTTTTCATTTTTAGTTTAGTTGATTTTAGATTTGATCTTGTGCTTGATTAATTTTAGATTGCGTTCTGCTCATTTTGCTGCTGTTCTGCTTGTTAAAAATGTCTGTTTAGGGTTTTTCAGCCAAGTCATTGAGACCTCGGCTCTCACACAACATTTATGCAGAAAACAACGTTTCTTCTGTTCCCTCTACAGTCTACATAACCCAGTCTCATTTACTCTCTTGGCATTAACATCTACATGTACAGTTTGTGCTACAAAGGTAAATATTTTATGTATATGGAGAGAATATTTAAAAAATAATTTCACACAAAGCACATTTGAATTAACATAAACACAACTTTAGCCTGTGTGAATATCTTTAGTATTTAAAGTCCAACACCAACCATTACAATCCCAGTTGCACTTAAGGGGTAATTACTGTTGTAGAATACGTTGGTTTTATGTTTTTTTTCCCACATTCCAGCTGCGCAGGTGTTAAAAAATCCTTAAACAAACAAACAAACAAACCAGTCAAAGAAACACCTTAGTGCACGGTTGATGATTACAGAAGGTTGATGATGTCACTCCAGGTATCGAGCACAGCAGGAGTGTGTCTGAGAAGGCTCTGACTTCGTGGCACCGTCTGGGTCTGAGCCTTCATCCCCCTCCTCAAACAGCAGCTTCACGTTCAAAACTCCCCTCATTGTTTTGACTCAAACACTAAAACTGATAAACACTAATCACAATAAACTACATCCTAACTATAAAACCCAAACAAGCTGAACATCATAAATCTCTCAGATCTCATGACTCACTCTCACTGTGTCTCTGTTGCCACCAGACTTCCTTCTGTAGATGTTTTGGTGCTTGAGAAATAAGTTTGGATCTCATTCAGAAAGGAAGTGGGGGGTGTTTTCTCCATCTTGTCTGTCTTTGCAGCTGCCTCCAGCCTCGCACAACACAAATCTGGCATATTTGCATGATTGGGTCCCTTGCATCATGTCACACCCTATATATGGAAGTGAGGGGACTTTAATCAAATCAAAGACAAACTGCAAAAGACGTGTGTGAAAAGCTGAGTACACAGCATGACTCAGCAGTTTGTAGAACCGCTTTAACAGTGAGAACTAGCAACACTTGTCTGTTTGACTGTTTTACAATAAGCTTCCTGCACTGAATAGGGATTTTGGCCCACTCTTTTTATACAGTGCTGCTTTAGTTTACATGCATGAACATCCATCTCTCCAAAGGCACTTCACAGCATTTCAGTCAGGTCTGAACAGGTCTGGGACTTTGTCTGGATCGTTGCAACACATTGATTGTTTTATTTACAGTGCCTTGTGAAAGTATTTGGCCCCCTTGAACTTTTCAATCTTTTGCCACATTTCAGGCTTCAAACATAAAAATATAAAATTTTAATTTTTTTGTGAAGAATCAACAACAAGTGGGACACAATCGTGAAGTGGAATGAAATTTATTGGATGTGTCAAACTTTTTTAACAAATAAAAAACTGAAAAGTGGGGCGTGCAATATTATTGGGCCCCTTTACTTTCAGTGCAGCAAACTCACTCCAGATGTTCAGTGAGGATCTATGAATGATCCAATGTTGTCCCAAATGCCTGATGATGATAAATAGAATCCACCTGTGTGTAATCAAGTCTCCGTATAAATGCACCTGCTCTGTGATAGTCTCAGGGTTCTGTTCAAAGCGCATAGAGCATCATGAAGACCAAGGAACACACCAGGCAGGTCCGAGATACTGTTGTGGAGAAGTTTAAAGCCGGATTTGAACACAAAAAGATTTCCCAAGTTTTAAACATCCCAAGGAGCACTGTGCAAGCAATCATACTGAAATGGAAGGAGTATCAGGCCACTGCAAATCTACCAAGACCCGGACGTCCCTCTAAACCAGGTGTGCCCAACCAGTCGCTCGCAGGCGACCGGTCGCCCGCGAGCTGGTTCCCAGTCGCCCGCGAAGCGAAGCCTTGACTTGTATTCTCACAGACATAGTCTTGCGAGTTTTGGGTGCGGTGACACAGTGCTCTCACGAGACTTTAGGCTCAGTAGTGGAGTAATGTCGGTGCGCAGAAAACATGGATGGAAAACTAGCGAACAAGCAAACGAAAACTTATTATTTTCACACAGAGTGGGAGGAGGAGTATTTTTTTGTTTATTCTAATTCGAAGTCCATTTGCCTCATCTGTAATTCGAGCGTTGCCTTACCCAAAAAGTGTAACTTGGAGCGGCATTTCAAGACGATGCACAAACGGTTTGAGACAGATTTCCCTCTTAAAAGTTCTTTACGGACTCAGAAAGTGCGGGAGCTAAAAAACAAGCTTGCAGCCCAGCAGTCAGTCTTCACTCGGCCCAGCACAAAAGGTAAAGCTGCTACGATAGCTTCCTACCGTGTTAGCCGCATCCTGGCTCAACATAAGAAGTCTTTCAGCGATGGACAAGTTATGAAAGAAGTGTTTATTGAGGCTGCAGATGCGCTTTTTCATGATTTTAAAAATAAAAGTGAGATCGTAGCTGCTATTAAAGACGTGCAGTTGTCCAGACAAACAGTGACACGGCGATGTGAGGGAATGGCTGTGGATGTGGAGGAGCAGCTAAAAAAGGACGTGGAACAATGCGAGTGTTTCTCTCTTCAGTTTGATGAGTCGACAGACATGGTGGATGTAGCCCAGCTGTGTGTTTTTATCAGAATGGCCTTTGCAGACATGAGTGCAAAAGAGGAGCTGCTCACCATCTTGCCTTTGAAGGGACATACAAGAGGAGAAGATATTTTTAATGTGTTTATGGAGTTTGTTAATAAAAGCAACTTGCCCCTCTTTAAACTAATTTCTATAACAACTGATGGCGCTCCAGCAATGACTGGTCACACCAGTGGATTTGTTGCACTCTGCAAGCAGAATGATGCTTTCCCAGACATTTTGCACTATCACTGCATCATCCACCAACAGACCCTGTGTGGGAAGATTTTAAACATGAAGGAAGTGATGGATGTTGCCATGAAAACTGTGTGCTCTATAAGGGCCAGGAGTCTGCAGAGGAGGTTGTTCCGGGCTCACTTGGAGGAGGCAGGAGCAGACCACACAGACCTGCTGCTGCACATGGACGTCAGGTGGCTAAGCAGAGGTACATTTCTGGACAGATTCAGTGAGCTGTTGCCTGAGATCAGGGATTTTCTGAAGCTGTCAGATCATGGTGAACATTCAAAACTAGAGGACACCCAGTGGCTTTTGGATTTAGCCTTCCTCACAGATCTCACCAGCCTGCTCAATGAACTGAATTTGGAGCTTCAGGGAAAGGACAAAAACATAATCCACATGATCAGTTCTGTGAGCACCTTCAAAAGCAGGCTGCAACTGCTCACAAGTCGGCTGCAACGCAGGGACCTGCGAAACTTCCCACACATGGAGGCAGAGCTACAGCACCAAGGGAAAGAAGTCCCACAACTGGACAGTGCACACTATTCTAAGCAGGTTCAGAGCATCTCAGCAGAATTTGAGAGACGATTTACTGACTTTTCCTCCATCGAGCCTGTTACCAGCTACATGTGTTATCCTTTTGGAAATGTTGATGTGGATGACATTGTGTCCAAATTGGTGTCCGTGTTTCAGCTGGACAGCTCTGGTGTTGAAAATGAGGTGTTGAGTCTGCAAAATGACATTGGGATCAAATCCAGAGCATCACCTGGTGTGGATGGAGAGTTCTGGAGTCTGCTGTCAGAAGAAAAGTATCCTAACATCCGAAGATGTGCTTTGAACTTAACAACACTTTTTGGATCTACCTACCTGTGTGAGTCTGCTTTTTCACACATGAAAATCATCAAGTCCAAAAACAGATCCACAATGAATGATGATCATCTGGAGACCTGCCTGCGCCTCGCAACCACCTCATACTGCCCAGCTTATGAGACCCTGGCCTCCTCCTCTCAGTGTCAGAAGTCCCACTAAGGTAGAGACACATTTATTTTATACAGCTTGCATAAAAAGTTATCTCCTATAGACACATCACGTTCTGTTTTATTTACTTTAAAGAAGTGAGGAGTAGGGATTGATGAAAAATTATGTTTGTTGATAATGAGACTGGACGAGTAGCTCTCGGCAAATTGCCGACTTCAAAAGTAGCTCTTGGTTCAAAAAAGGTTGGGCACCCCTGCTCTAAACTTTCATCTTGAACAATGAGAAGACTGATCAGAGATGCAGCCAAGAGGCCCACGATCTCTCTGGATGAACTGCAGAGATCTACAGCTGAGGTGGGAGAGTCTGTCCATAGGACAACAATCAGTCGTACACTGCACAAATCTGGCCTTTATGGAAGAGTGGCAAGAAGAAAGACATTTCTCAAAGATATCCATAAAAAGTGTTGTTTAAAGTTTGTCACAAGCACCTGGGAGACACACCAAACATGTGGAAGAAGGTGCTCTGGTCAGATGAAACCAAAATCCAACTGTTCGGCCACAATGCAAAACGATATGTTTGACGTAAAAGCAACACAGCTCATCACCCTGAACACACCATCCCCACTGTCAAACATGGTGGTGGCAGCATCATGGTTTGGGCCCGCTTTTTGTCAGCAGGGACAGGGAAGATGGTCAGAATTGATGGGAAGATGGATGGGGCCAAATACAGGACCATTCTGGAAGAAAACCTGTTTGAGTCTGCAAGAGACCGGAGACTGGGACAGAGATTTATCTTCCAACAAGACAATGATCCAAAACATAAAGCCAAATCTACAATGGAATGGTTCACAAATAAACATATCCAGGTGTTGGAATGGCCAAGTCAAAGTCCAGACCTGAATCCAATCGAGAATCTGTGGAAAGAGCTGAAGACTGCTGTTCACAAACGCTCTCCATCCAACCTCACTGAGCTCGAACTGTTTTACAAGGAAGAATGGGCAAGAATTTCAATGTCTCCATGTGTAAAACTGATAGAGACATACCCCAAGAGACTTGCAGCTGGAACTGAAGCAAAAGGCGGCGCTACAAAGTATTAACGCAAGGGGGCCGAATAATATTGCACGCCCCACTTTTCAGTTTTTTATTTGTTAAAAAAGTTTGACACATCCAATAAATTTCATTCCACTTCACGATCGTGTCCCACTTGTTGTTGATTCTTCACAAAAAATTAAAATTTTATATCTTTATGCTTGAAGCCTGAAATGTGGCAAAAGGTTGAAAAGTTCAAGGGGGCCGAATACTTTCACAAGGCACTGTATATGTCATTTGGTTGAAGATTTGCTGCTTGTTTGGTGTCATTGTCGTGTTTAATGACCACTTTGGTTCAAAGTTTATCTGTCATACAAACTGAAAGTGAAAGATAACAATGATATTTATTGTGATCCTTGTTTGTTGCCATAACATGATGACATTTGTCCTCTACATTTGACTGGGATACACCCAAGTGAAGCAGCAGGCAGCTATCTGGAGGATCAGGTGTCTTGCTCAAGGCCCAGTTTCGAGTTGGCTGAATCTACCACTCCACCACAGCTGCCTGATTTCCATTTGACTTTGTGATAAACACCTACAACAAACCAGACTTTAAATAATTTACGGAGGTTGTGGCTGAGTGGTTAGAACAATCGTCTTCCAATGAGAGAGTTGTGGGTTCGATTAAAAATCTGATTGCCTCTGATGGGTGTCCCATCAATGCATGAATGTGATCTAAAGTTCAGATTAGTTTTTAATGAATGATTTGTTCAGATTATCTTTGTAGAGGTGTAGTAGAGTGCTGTATGAATGTGTGTGGAGGTAAATGAGAGCACAGATTGTGTTGGAAAGAGCTTTGAGTATTTGAGTATCCATGTTGGATAGAAAGGTGCTACTGTATATAAAGACAGTCCATTTACTGTTTACCTTAAAATTTAGTACAGAGAATTAGGCCTGTCACGATAAATGATAAATCAATTAATCGCATGATAAATGACAATTAACCTCATTTTCATTTATCAGCTTTATCTTTTTTTGTGTCTCTCTCTCTACTGAAGACACTGGATGATAAAAAGCTCAACTCCGTTGCTCTTCACTGATCCCTCCCTTTCACTTTTCTCTTTAAAATCTGTTTTAACTATCCAAAACTGCATTGTTGGATCGTTAAAAGTAGCTAAGCTGAAAAGCTAAGCTACGAGCTAAGCTAACTTGCCGACCTCGGGGAAAAACCTCCGTCTTGTCGAAGCTCCAGCATTCATGTTTGAAACCCGTGCATTCACGTAAAAAGTTTTTCTCTGTTAAAAGAAGCTGAGAACTTTTTTACTGATTTTTTTCATTAAAAGCTTTGTGTGAAAGCTATACTAAAGAGTTCAAACCACCGAGCATCCGCCATGTTTGAGAACTGAAGAGAGACAGCCCATGTCATGTCAAGGGGCCTCCCTCCCATTTTTCTTAAAGAGACACGCTGCTCGCTCCCTCACTATCCATCCTTCAATTCAAACAGTCTTATACTGCTATCCACTGGTCAAAAATGGTACTACATGCAAAAAAATTAACCAACATTTCTTCTTAAATTTGATAATAACTACTAATTATTGTCAAATTTCAAACAATATTATCATTTATCGCAATAATTTCTGAGACAATTAATCCATCCATCCATCCATTATCTTTACCCGCTTATTCCATTTTGGGTCACGGGGGTCGCCGGTGCCCATGTCCAGCAATCACTATGCGAGGAGCGGGGTACACCCTGGACGGGTCTCCAGTCCATCACAGGGCCACATAGAGACAAACAACCATTCACTCTCTCACTCACACCTAGGGACAATTTAGAGTTACCAATCAGCCTAACATGCCTGTTTTTGGTCTGTGGGAGGAAACCGGAGGAGACAATTAATCGCCCAGTAAAATATGTTATCATGACAGGCCTACAGAGAACAAGTTAATCACATTTAAACAGTCACAGTCCTTTAACCTTCTAGATGAGGCCTGTAGAGCCTTTTTTAATGCCCCTTTTCCATTAGTACCGGTACGGGCCGACTCAACCCTACTTAGCCTGGTTCTGAGGCTTTTCCATTAGTACCGGTACTTAGCACCTGTTACTATTTTCAGTACCCTTGGCTCTGTGGTTCTAACCGGTACGAAGAGGTACAAAAACGTGACGTCAGTACACTGTCGGTCACTGATCGGTCGGGGGCGGAGTCACTGGATCCTTCAGAAACGTTTCAAAACAATAATCCGCCATTTGCAATTTCTCGGACTGGAGCAGCGGCTGGACTTATTTTAAAGATTTTAAAAACAATACTGACAACATCTTGGTCTAATGTTGATGTGCTGACATTTTTTGTGCTTGGTGGCTGACAACATAATTCAGAGCAAGCTGGATGGAGATCTGCTGGTGTACCCCGATCCTCCCTCCGGAGCCTCCGAGCGCCAGACCGGGCAGGGCGTCATCTCCCCGGCTCCAAGTTCAGCTGGTCACCGCGGAAGATCCTTCGATGTGCCGACTCGGAGGCTCGGGTTCCAGATACCAGCCTTGTGTGCTCAGAGCTCCGCAGGTCACTGCGAAGCTGGATATGGGGACTCGCAGATGGCCGTTGCGAGACCCCGGCCGCGCGTAATCATGAAGGCTGAATCCCGATCTCACCCGGCAGTCAGGCGGACTGGACAGTCTGGGACGGACGCTGGAAGCGATTTTTAAATAAAACAATATTTTGTTTTTATACAAAAAATGTTTTTAAAAAAATGCTGAAGCGATTTAAAAATGATTTTTTTTTTTTTTACACGTAAAAGGTTTTTTAAAATCGCTTCCACCGTTCGTCGCAGACCCGTCTCTGTCCGCCTGTCTGCGCGGGTCGAGCCATCATGATTACGCACGGCTGGAGTCTTGGAACGGACTCTGTGAGTGACCAGCTGAACTGGAGCTGGGAGGATGAGCCTCCCAGCCTCCCCCTCTCCGGAGGAGAGGATCGTGTGACTGCGGGCAGTGTCGTGCGAGACCAGCAGAGCGTTGAAGATTTAAAAAAAAAAAAAGACGGTGACAGCTTCATCATGAAATCCTGTTTTCACTTTAATGACTGTTAACTCAGCTGAAAATCATAAAAAGACACAAAACTATTGGATCTCAGGAATATTTCCCTCAAACATGTTTAAAGAAAAGAGACGACCTTCAGTTCAACTTTATTTTAACTCACGAATGTACAAATCACAAAACAAGAACTTTAAAGCAAAGCTAAAAATAAAATGTTTATATGTGAACAAGAAAGGAAACCACACATCTAAAATGAACATTAAAAGTAGACACAATGAGTGCAAATACATCAAATGATGATGAAAACCTATAAAAATTTAAAT